GTTATTTAAAAATATTTTACTTCCTAAATGACTCTAAGAAAAGTCTTAGGTTCTTCCTTTAAAAAAGCCAACCCTGTTTTTTAATGTTGAAATAATGCTTATTTTTGTGACAATTGTAATATTTTCAAAATGAGATCATTGGTATCAAAGGCAAGCAAGATTTTTTTTTTTTTTTCCCCCAGAGGGCTGGCATTATAGCTGCATCAAACTCTCCATCCCTCACATGGAAAGATTTCTTTGGCAGCTGTATGTTTGTGAAGTGTTCCTGTTTACACTGGGTTTCTAACAGCCTCTTTGTACTTCGGGTTTGCTCATTTTCAAATTGTCTCAGTTTCCCTGTAGCAGAGACAAGGAACCAACAAACATAGGTGTGCCTTCCGAAGTCCTGAAGCTCTAGAAGCTTCACCAAGCTTCTCACTCTCAGTCAGGCTGGCTTTGCCCCCTTGCCTCAGTCAGCTGTTAGAGCAACACGTTTGTGGTTATTAACACTGTTCATAAATCCTTGCTTAAATTCAAATGATACTTCTGGCATTGCTGGGTATTGGAAATGTCCCATGCTTATTTGTTAATTAATGTTCTCATATTTTACAGCTCTCTTGTTGTCTGAGCTATAAAAGGAAATACAAAGATTTCATGTGGTTTTGAGTGTTTGTAAGCTTTATATGTTTAGCAAGTGAGGGATGGGCAAGGCTTTATTCACCTTTGTGCTGTGGTTTTGTGGCAGGTTTCTTATTGAGGGAGTGCTTGTTATTCGTTCTCTCCTCCTGGCTGCTGTGGACACAGGCACTTTATCCACACTGTGGCTTGGATATTACAAATAATGGTCCTGCTGTGAGGAGAGCTTGACTGGATTAAAAAAAAAAAAAAGCAAAAAAAACCAAACCAAGCCAAACCAAACCACACTGCAAAAAAACCCCCAAACAACCCCACACCAAAAAACCAAAATGTAAAACAACAATTAAAAAAAACAAAATAGAAACCCAAAACACACAAAACATGTTTTTGCCCTAGTTCAGTTTGCCAGGAAGTCCCGAATCAGCAATAGGAATGGGAGAAGGGCCTGGTGCCAGTGCTGGCAGTGCCACTGGAGTGCTTGCCCAGCTGAGCACTGGGCTTTACAGGCTTTGTCCTGCACCAGGACTGTCTGCACCAGTAAACCGAGGAGATAACAGGGCATACCAAGCCAGTGCTGATCCCTCTTACCATTCACTATCCAACTAAAAGCTTTTCCTCTACCAAATTCACTTTTCAGAATCACTGCAGTGTTTTTGTAAAAGCAGTATTTCCTAAAAGTTCAGAGATAACAAATCAGCTTTTACCCTTCCCTTTTTCAAAGGAGGAGCTGTCTCTGCCTGGCTTTCCTGCCTTCTCAAACTCTGGCAGGTCTTAAGCACTTCCGCATATGGCCAGTACTCTCTAAGAAATGAGCTTATTAAAATATACTAGCTCCATCTGTTATTTTGAAGTTTGCATTAATGCCTCCATCAACTTTTTTTTTCCTTAGAAGTCACTTTAAACTACCCTAAATGTCTTGTTATTAACCAGTTTCTGGCAAGATCCTTAGTCCTTTAATCAACCTCCGAGAATCTTATGTAAGTAAGTTTTCACATCTTTTGGTGTTGATTTTTTCCTCTTCTTTTAGTAGATTCTTGTGAGTTTTGGTTTTGGTTTTTTTTGTTTAGTAGTTTCATTTTAGGTTGTTTTGTTGGGCTTTTTTGAGACAAGACATGACTTATTTTGGAAAAAACCTTGTAAATATCAAAAGTTCTCTAAATAAGTATATCATCAACTATGCAAGCTGCTAACGTTAGAGGGTTTATTTTGATATTAGTTAATGTATTCGGATCTGAAAATAACTGCTCTGCTTCTGCTGCTTCCTTCATTGCTATTTATAGATTTCTTATCTTGTCTGTTATTGGTTTTTTTAATTAACAAGCCATCTGTGGGAATTTTCCTAATCACAAAAGACTCTTAGTTGTAAGTACAAAATGGTCTGTGACCAACTGTGAGCAGACAGAAATGAGGATAATTTATCCAGGTGTCCTGTCCCATGTTCAATCCTGACCCGTGTGTGCCTGAGTCAGTCGTTGTAGAACACAGAATGATTTGCACGGACACGGTTCAATGTATGATAGGGAAAAAGAAGGCTTTTATTTTTATGATTCCAGTATTTTTAGATTTTTGATAATGACCAGGGATTGGATAGTTAGGTTACCACCTTCCCAATCACACTGGTCATGAGAAACGTCCATTAAAAGACATTTCTCTGAAAGAATGTATAAACATCTATGTTTATAGTTACTTTCCTGGGAAAGTGGCTAGAAACTGTGAAAACAAGATCAGAAGGCTTAATTTTCAGGACCACACAAGTCCCTTCTGCATCCAGTCAGACACTTAGAAAAAGTCAGGCTTTGGTGAAAATCCCTGGCTTCTTCTGTTGTTCAAATCTGCCTTCCCCAAAGCCTGGCAGATACCTGATGTGAAAAAACATCTTGGGAAGGAGCAAATGAGTTTCTGGTGGTTTGCTGGAGGTCAGCACCATAACCTTCACATTCTCTTGGTGCATTTAAGGAGCAACTCCTTCAGACTTGGTGGTATTTGAAATTTCTGGTGTTGGAGATGACTTAAATTTCCATTATCCTATTTAGTTCTTTAGTTTCTCTGACTTTGAAAGGAGACAAAATGCTGCTTATGTTAAAGGCAGAAAGGGAATGGCCCCTTGAGTACATTTTTCTCTGAACCTATTGTTAACTCACTTTTGAAGTAAAATTTCCTTGGAAATACAGCACTTCAGAACACTCTGAAAGAGTCATCATTTTCTGGTACTTTTCCTGGTGAATAAGATAATGTCCCATCTGCTGGGACAGGAGCTTGAAACAACAATAACCTCTTGAACCTCCCCTACTTACCAGGTGATTATCAAAGAGGGAAGGAGCAGCCTCCATTCATACACCTTACAGGGGGTTCAGATGTTATTTTCATATTATTGCTGCCAGGTTATAGCTTTTGTAACAAACTGGACTAATTTTAAATAGTCCTAGACTCCTTTCAAATAATCCCAGACTGCAAAACTCCCTGATATTTCACTCCATCATGAGGCGAGTATTGATGGGAAAAGAGCTCTTGCTTCCAATGTTTTGTAAATGGATTTTTTACCCTGTTTTGAAAACTCATCTAGCCAGGTTTGAAGGGTATTTGAATTAAGTGACTTCATATTACCAAACCAGAGGCAAAGCTTCTTAGGTGAAAAAGCAGACCCTGACTTATGCAAAATTATACAACCAGAGAAGGGCTGATGAAAAATAATTTCATCTTTGTGATGATTTTAAATGTTCAGGCTTATGCAGGTGGTAGGAATTCAAGTTGGTTTTTAGTACAGTAAGTAATGATCTAATTTTCTATACGTCAGATAAAGGTGATCTTTTGGTGAATTAAGATGTGAGTTTTGAGTGTTTTCTCCTTTGACAGTCACTGGAGAAGAGCTCTGCTGGGTTTGTACCACTCTGAATTTACTGAACAAATGTAGCTCACTAGCAAGGGGGATGAAGAAAACTATTCCTGTTTTTGTTGGATGCTGTGAATTTAAATTTGAAAGATTAAGGATTCTGAAATGCAGTTGAAAAACACAGGAACATGGCAATTACATTACTTACAGAAAAGGGACTTTTTAGTCTGAAGAAGATTAATTTTAGAAGATGACCATGTGTGTAATCTTATTTTAGATAAAAAGAGCCACAAAGCCTGATGCAAGAAATTGAGATTTGAGAAGTCCCTTTTGATTAAATTATATATATTTCTCTGATTCTTAATAATGTCTAATTCTTAATAGGGTATTAAGTGTTTAATAATGGAATGTAAAAGAGTAGGAGAACTGAATGATGATGCATTTAGCAATGTTATTTGCAATTAAAACCCTGAGGAAGGGTTATGGTTGTGTGATCAACCATGTACGAAAATAGCACGGTCACCTTGTCCTCTCAGATGGATTTTGCTTGCCTTAAAGGAAATATCTTTTCAGTCATCCAGCAAGCTGCAAACCAACCACTCTTATAGGTGGACATCATAGCATAATTCCTTACAAAATAAAGCTGATGATGGAATTACTGGTTCTATAAAGATTCCCCTTGAATATTTTTAAAAGGAATTAGCTGCAATGTTGGATGATGCAGTGCACGGTGTGTGCAGTAAGGAGGATTTTGCAGCACTTGAGAATAAAAAAGCATTTGTCTTTATAAGCAGTATGTTTTATTGCCAGCTTTGTCTCAACTGTCCTCCCCAGCACACACATTTTAATAAGTTAAAATGAGTTTGGTTTGCTTTGTTTTGGGATGTGAAAGTGATTACAGCTAAATCTGGAGCTGTATGAAGAGATGTAAAACACTGCAGAAACTGAGAAGGTGCTTGTCTGATGGAGGGAAGTCTGGGGCAGTGGGTGTGTTAAAGGAAGGAACTAAAAATCTCAATTAGATGAGGTCTACACCATTTTTAATTGCTTCTTTTTGCTTGACTGACTGTAGTTTTCCTCCTTATTTTTTGTATTCTCATGTTGCAAGGGACACCACTTCAGATGTTTTTATACGTGAAGTTTAACTTTTGCCAGCAGGCAGGGGGGCGATGTCAGGGGAACTTTTTGTTTCTTGTTTTTCAACAGCAGCTTTTCAGTTTGGTTTCTGGAAGGAATCTCCCCCAGCACCAGGAGCTTTTAGTAGCTGGTGTTAGGCTTTGTTTCACTGGCAAGGGAGGCTGTTTGCATCCAGACCTTCTCCTTGAGAAGGTTCTGGAGCAGGGAATGTGTAAAAACAGGCAAAAATGTGTCTCAGAGCTGTCACTCTTAGCAGTGAGCACATTCCTGAAGCTACACTAGCTCATCCTGCTGGGACATTGGTTAAAGTTATTGAATATATTGACCATAATTGGCAGAACTGTTGTGGAATTTTAATCAAATGTGATCTGGTGGAATGGAATGAAATTCATACTTTTGCATTGCCATTTCTCCTCAGAAAACCTGAAAAAGGAGTCCAGTACCTCATTGAGCGAGGATTTGTGCCAGACACTCCTGTTGGGGTTGCCCACTTCTTGCTGCAGAGGAAAGGGCTCAGCAGGCAGATGATCGGAGAATTCCTGGGAAATCGGCAGAAGCAGTTCAACAGGGATGTGTTAGAGTGAGTATGGTGTGGGGAAGAGGTGAGCACTGCCCATGGTGGTAGATCTGCTGTCTCCATGGTACACAGAAATGCTGTTTAATTCCCCTCCCCATCCTGCTGTTGGCCAGTGTGTTTCTGGGGGTCCTTAATTGTGCTAATTTATTAATTTTGACTCTGCACATGTGCTTTACGCCTTGGCATGAGAAAAGGGCTTTTCAAAGTGTAACAGAACTTGCAATAAAGGGAAGCCTGTGAGCATTGCTGCAGAACTGATAATAAAGTTTAGGTGAACATTGGAAAGGGTGTGAGAAATTCTAGGCTTGCTGTTTCATAGTGCTTTTGCATAAAATGAAAAATATTAAAAGCAAAGGGAATAAATTACTTGTTAATCTACTTAGCTAATTAGCTGCAGTGTTACTGGAAGAAAAATGAGAGCTACTGTAATTTGTCATTGTATATCTATACATTTAAGTAAAAGCTTTTAAAAGTGGATAGTGCTTTCTGTGGTTTCTGCATTACAGTGCTGTTACAGTGATTCATGTCTGGTCATTTCAAAACTAAAGGCTACGCTTAAATGAAATTTATAAACCTCTGATTTTAAAGCAGTCTTTAAACAAAGTATTAGAATGACATAGTTTGTGTTGTTGATTATATTAAAATGGTTCCCTTTTATTTTTCGCCAGCACTGTATTTTCAGAGGAAGAAAGTAATTATTTCTCCATAAATGTTAACTGAAAGTCATGGCAAATGATGGGGAGATGAGAATTACAGCAATAGTAAAGAGAATATCCAAACAAGATTATATTTTTCTCTGCATTTAAGAATGTTCCTAGACACAGAGCCATTTGGTACAGATTATTGTGCCTGCTGCAGGCTGTGTGAGCTATGATATTTTGAGCAGTATAAACTATTTATTATTGGAGGCATTGTGATAGTTGATTGGCCTGGAAGCACAGAACTAATAATTATTTGTGGTAGTGGTACATCACTTAGAATGGTCAGATATTTGTCATTCCAGCAGCTCCTCTGTTAAAAAACACAAGGGTCTGCTCACATTTGCACATACTTATTGATCTGTTATTTTCAACCTTCCTTCACAGCTTACCTGCAATTATTGCAATTGCTGCTGAAAGTTTAAAAAACAATTCCATTAATCTCTGTCAGGTGGAAAATCGAAAAGTTTTCTTCTGTTTCAGAATCTTCTCTTTGGTACTGTGTTGTTAGAAATGAAGAGACACGATGTGAATCTGTTTTTGTCCTAGCTGTGTGGTGGATGAAATGGACTTCTCCACAATGGAGCTGGATGAAGCACTCAGGAAATTTCAAGCACACATCCGTGTCCAAGGAGAAGCCCAGAAAGTAGAGCGGCTCATTGAAGCTTTTAGGTAGGATGTCAAATAAATCCTTCAGAAACCTTCTGCTTTGCAAAAAGACTGCAGAACTGGGGAACTTGGGTTTATCCAAGTAACTTTCCTGATTATTTTCAGTGTCCTCATGAGCTACATTTTCAAATATATCTTGGGGGGGGGATGGGAGATTTGCTAAGTATGAGATAAGAAATTTCATTTGGTGGTATTGTTCACAGGTGGCATTTGTATTCATAGAACTTCCTCAGAAGTTCTTTCTTGCATAAGTTGAAAAGATACTTAAGGATTTTTTAACATGTCTAAGAATATATTTGGATTTAGTAGTTTGTATGAGTGAAATTATAAGCCCGTGCACTTTTTAGGGTATGTATGCTCCTAACTTTTAATTAAACACTTCAATGGCTGTGGGAGAAAGAGGAGTCAATTATCAGTCCTGACACAGTGTACCCAGGGCAGGATAAGGTGGAAATCACCACATGGCAGTAAGCCAAAATCAATGCTGTGTTCTTCCCTGTTGTTGGGGTATTAATCACTGAAAAAAATGGGATAGAAATTGTAGTAAGTGAAGTTACAGTGATATAGAAACAAACTCCTTGCACATTCAAGGATTGCCTTATGAAAACATGTGGATGGAAAGCTAAAGCTGTGTCTGGAAATGGAACAGTAGCTTGCTGAGGCTCTGGAATCAGCAGCAGGTGGGTTATTTGGTGAATTTGAGCAGTGCCTCCCAGCCCTGACAGCTTCCCCTGGTGTTCCCAGCCAGCGTTACTGCATCTGCAACCCAGGCGTGGTGCGGCAGTTCCGCAACCCCGACACCATCTTCATCCTGGCCTTCGCCATCATCCTGCTCAACACTGATATGTACAGCCCCAACGTCAAACCCGAACGCAAGATGAAGCTGGAGGACTTCATCAAGAACCTCAGGGGTAAGAGACCCTAAGGGCAAAGCTCCTAAAAGCTTTTCCCTGTCCTTGCAGGGACACTGTGTCATCTGGGAACAACTTCATGATTCTGTCACCTGACTGCCATTTGGACAGACCTCAGTCATTTCTATAACAGCAAAACCAGAATTAATTGTGTTATATTTTGTCATTTTTATTTTGTCTTTCTTGAGTGGATGGATATATTGTCAGGACCTTTCATTTTAGGACCAGTAAAACCAGAGTACTTGTGGTGTTCTGGAATTTCAGATCTTGAAAATGAAATGGCTTGTGATTTTATTCCCTGAGATTGATATAAGGCAGCAAGGAAAACCCTGTGCTTAGCAGATAATTCAGCTTAGCAAAGTTTAAGTTAGTGCTGAGATTTTATTGTAAAATTCACAAATACTCCAAAGGCCTGATAGGCATCTCCTGGCATAATGCTGCAGTTACATTTGGGGAATTAGACACAGTGTATTCTCTCTGAACTCCAGCATGTATGCCCAGCAATTCTTGTTATTACAAGGATTTCTGTAACAAGTTACCTTGCTGCAGCTGTAAATTACAGAGGGTGGGCTGTGGAAGGCTTGGCAGAACAGAGGTGGTTTTGCTTGCTTCTATCTGCAAACAAATTGTATTTTATCACTGTATTTTTTATGGGAGCAGCTGTTGCACTGGGTGACAAAATATTATATCTTTGCTTCTGAATGGGAGATAATAGTTTATTGCTTTAAAACCTGTTTCAAAAAGAGACATGCATCGCCCTGTCCCTAGAAAATCCAGCTTTAAGTCACTTAGCGAAATTAGACTCCTTCCGCTGCTATTAAAATTTCGGGATCAGGCATTCAAGACAGTGTGGCATTGTTAGAATGCCATGCCAATGATAATCACACAGTGCTAAATAATAATATTGGATCTGGGCTATTGTGTTGATTTGTTTTTCCAGAGTAAACTAGTTATCTTTGAAATCTTAGAGGAAATACTGGTTAAATTAATTTTACTGCATTCATATGATTCTCACATAAGAAATTATTTCATGAACAACATTGAGTAATATTGAGACAAAATGAAATGGTTCTTCAGCCTCCTCCTAGGGGTGTATTCCTAGGAGAATGTCTATGGATATTCTAGTGTCTAAAAAGGAATTTAATTCATAGTTTTTAATACCAAACAGAGGAAATGTGAAAGAAAAAAAAAATCCTTTAGGAAATCAGCCTTTTTATGTCTTAGTTTTATATGGGAGTTTTAAAACAAACAATTCCCAAACCTGGGTGATTTCTATCAATGTTTGGGTGTATGGGCAACGAACTTCTGGACCACAATCAGTGCGTAAATCATGTTCACACCAGTTTCTGTGCCTGGCTGAGGCAGCACAAGGACACACAGGAGGAGCTGGCTGACAGCTGGGAAAAACCAGCACAAATATCAGCAGGCAGGCAGCACTAGCACTGGGAGGGTAGGAAAACAGAAAATGCCCAGGTTTTTGTCTTCTGCCAGTGTGGATCAGATCCCTGCTAACAGAGGCTTGGCCCCTGCAGGGGTGGATGATGGTGAGGACATCCCACGGGAGATGCTGATTGGGATCTACGAGCGCATCCGCAAGCGCGAGCTGAAGACCAACGAGGACCACGTGTCCCAGGTGCAGAAGGTGGAAAAGCTCATCGTGGGCAAGAAACCGGTGAGTGCCTTCTGTCCTGCTGTGAGGCACAGGCAGGGCAGGGCAGCAGAGCTGTGCTGCTCCCCAGTACAGACTGGTCCATGGATGGAAAAGGGCAGAAACTGTCAAAGTAATTCCCTATGAGGTTGATTTAAATTCTGGAGTATCCATGCAGATGAATTTTGTTTTTGCAGTCATGGGTTACATGATGATGTTAGGAGTCTTAAAAACCTTTATTGTGACTGTTCTCTTATTTACTTCTAAAGAATCAAAGTACTTTGTTAATGTAATATTGTAGAGAACTGTATTCCAAAATTTGCACTGTCAGTTATGGCTCCGTAACTTACAAGAGTAATAGAGAAGTTCTGTTCATATCAGCATCTTTGTCACCTGTTCAGCTCCTTCCATGATGTGGGATTTGTAAGGGGAAACAGGGTCATTTTATCTTAGGATATATCTGGAAACCAGGTCCCATGGATTCTGGTGCTGGGTTTCAGCATCCAAAGATAGGATTATTGTAGGAAAAGTCCTGAAATATTTTGCTGTATAAGTGAATCTTCAAAGCATCTGTTGGAAATGGAGTGAGAAAAGAAAGGCCACAGCATTTTACCTCCGACTAAGGAGCACAGAGGGTTTAAGACCAGTATTTTCCATGCTAGGAAAGGTAACTAATGTGGAGAGGGACCAGTGGATGTTCAGCCTTCCTAAATTCAAACCTTCATATCAGTAGTCACAAAGACAGCCCAGAACAAAGCCAAAGAGCCCTAGACTTCCGTGGTTTTGAAGCCATATATCTGTTTTTTTATCAACTCCAGGGAACTCCATCAGGGTCTGATGGGCTGGGGGATTTATTCTTGAGGAAGAGAATGTGGATCTCAAGATTCTCCCTATTACTGTTAAAGGGCTTTGAATTGCAATCTCTTCTCAGACAAGCCTTAGTCAGGGGATGGGGGAAGGGAATGAGGGACCACCAAAAATCTAATTTTGGTCTGTTTCCAGTAAAGAACATGCTGAGGAGATCTCTTTGAAGAAGAAGCAGAAAGAAAGCAAAGTTTTTATAAAAGCTTGTACCTGTTTTTGAGAAGAAGGGAAATAAATATTCTGAAGTCAGGCATCTAATATGAAACTTTGTTTTCAAATTAATTTCAAATTGGGGATTTAGGTTTATATATAAGCTTCTGTGGGAGATGGGTTTTTTCCATGTTTCTTTTTTTATTCAGATATGTGGCAATTCAAATCCTAAAACTAATCCTGACCTTGTAAATTAAATGGGATTAAGAAAACAATGCCCTTGGTGGAGTTCTAGTTTGAAGGATTGTTCTGGTGGGAGACTTTTTAACTGTGTGCAAGGAAATGAGGGAACAGGCAAATCTTTATTGATAGCTCTATTTGTTTTTACTTTATAGGCATTTAGTCATAGTCAGAGCGTGCCGTATTTACTTGCTATGATACAGTTCTGTGTTTCTCTGAAGTTTAATCAACTTGTATGTGTCTTTCTACTGTAGATTGGATCTCTGCACCATGGACTTGGTTGTGTAGGTATTTCTCTCCTACTCATTCAAAATTTATAGTCATTGTAACTGGCAGCATTTTCCTAAACTGGAAATAAGACATTCTGTAACATTATAAAATTTTAAATTACTGATGTTCTTTCAGGCAACATTTTCATTGTGTTATAGTAAAAACTCTCCAAGGTATAAAGATTTTCTTAAAAATGCATGTCTCAGAGACGGCTTAATTTATTGCCAAGGGTCTTCCAGACCTTTCTAGTACACTTTTTATTTATTTGAAATATTATTATCACTGTAGAGATTAGCCAGTAAGGAATAAACAAATAATTAAAATCAAACTTTGCACCTCACCTTTCCACCTGAGTTATAGTGTCTTTATTCTTTCTGGTTCATTTGAGAATTTAATGATACCATGGAAAGATACTGCCAGTTAAACTTCTGAATGGTAGATGAACATTGAAAATACCGTTTCCCAATTTAAATTATAGGCATGGTCAGTAATAAAGTAATCAGTAATAAAGTAATCAGTAATAAAGCTAAAACTTACATGCACCAAATCTTATAATGCACCAGTTTATGGATTTCTTTTGGTGTTTTTAACAAGATCTCATAATTTGCATTTGAAAGAAATCAAGTCTCATTCAGCAGCTTCAGAGATACCTTCAGCAGACATTTGCAATAAGAAAATGGAAATTCAGTTTTGATTTTCTTGCTTGCTTGAGAGGATAAAACAGATTGAAAATGTATTTGCTTTGTTCTAAAGTCTCCATGTTCTTGGTAATGGGGAATGAACAAATTGAATTAACTCAATGGCTGACAAAAAGTAACCTACAGCATCTCACAAAAACTAAAGTTGCTTTGCATCCTTTCTTCTTCTGATAAAAATAAAAATGCTTCTGGAAGGAACTATCCCTTGCTTTGAGCTTCCACTCAGGTTAATCTCAAGTTCTTTCACATTTCTATCATTTCACAAAATAAAGCTCTATCTTCAGTAGAGCTTCCATCCTGTATGGGATGCAAGCTGTCAGAGAGCATTTTAGAGAAGAACTTTGATGAAGTTTGAATGTCCTGCAAGTATGTGACATAAACTCTTTATGTTCCTGTTGTTTGTCCTTTGATGAAAAGGTCTAATGGGCTTAGAAGTAAAAATATTTGAAGTATTAAAAAGAAAAGGATTATTTTTTAAAAAATTATGAAAAATGCTCTTTCTTGGCTAAAAGTTGTTATATGAATCATGAATTTTTGTATTATTGCAGGTGCTCTCTCTCCCCCACCGGAGGCTTGTTTGCTACTGTAGGCTGTTTGAAGTTCCAGATCCAAATAAACCTCAGAAGCTTGGATTGCACCAACGAGAAATATTTTTATTTAATGATCTTCTTGTGGTATGTATTGCCAGGAAGAGAGAATGTGGTATTCAGAAATCATATCTCCATGAAATCACTGGCAATAAAGCATGTGATCATTCCTAAAAATAAGTATCTGTTACCCTGTATTCCAACAATCCTGGAATGATTAAAGGATTTATATTCTAATTTTTTTTAATTCTGTATAATTTGTTTTTTAAATGGAAGTCTTTTATTGACAGCTACACTCTGTAAGAAGGTATTTGGTGCAGTAGCTTTCACTATAGAGAAAAAAAACTCACTTCCAGTTCACCCATTGCCTTAAAGGATAAACAGAGACATTGTTTATTCCATGAATAATGAATTCAAGGTACTTGTGGAATAGGATCTATTGAAATAGATTTTACAGTTGACTTTACTTTTTAGTGTGCACTAACCCTCACAGACAAACTTGGCCAGTCTTGAAAAGCAGACATACAGAACTCAGGACAGCTTGGAATTATTTGGTTGATTTACTTTTAAAAATAGAAAAATTTGTTGCACTCCATTTGGAATGCACTTGGCTGTTACCTGAGAAGTGAGGACTACACCAAATATTTCATATTTTGTTAGGAAAAAGGCACACCTCATATACACGATATTATTGTATGTGGGTTTTTACATAGCTGCAGACCTTAAAACCAAGAATTAAATAAAAAACATTAATCCTTTTTCTTCTGAGTATAACCTAGCAGTTGTAAATGGGAGCTTGAATGGAAACTGTTATTTTTTAGTACTTACTCAGATATCAGTAGTTTTATCAAACTGTTTGGGGAATAATATAGACCAATTTTGTTGGTGTGGTAGCACCCAAATTTGGGGTGTTTAAGGATATTAAATATATTTTCATTTTTGCTAGCACAGAAAGGATGCATATTAATTTTGGTTTTGGAATTTCAAGAAGTAGAGTTCTGGAGAAGAGAGAACACAAAAGCTTTGTGTCTGGATAATATACTAACCCTTCTGCTTTAGCGAGATGATGTTGCAGAGCTTTGGTTTTTTCAGCAGCAGGAGGAGATTAAATACAGCACAGTTGCATTTTAAAAAATGGAAAAAACCTGACAAGTGCATTTTCTCTGACAGATTTATAACTTTCTTCTAAATAAAATGTTTTCTCTTATGCTAATTATCAGAGAAATAATTTTCCACAGGCACATTTGGTAGAAGGAATATTTCACTTTGTTTATCTGATACATTTCAGGTGACCAAGATTTTTCAGAAGAAGAAGAACTCTGTTACATACAGTTTTCGACAGTCCTTTTCCCTCTATGGAATGCAAGTTCTTCTCTTTGAGAACCAGTGTAAGTATTTCCTCTCTTTTTAGAGGACTTCTTTGTTCATAAATAAAACAAGAATGGTGTAAGTGAAAGGGATGGACAGGACTTGATTCTGAGTTTAGGAATAAAATTGCTCTGGACTTATTTCTAAAGTTCAAAACAAGATGCTGTCAGTATAAAAAACAGAGAGTTTTTTGGTTGTAGTCAGAAGCCAAATCTCCCCAAATGTGTTTGTGATTACTTGTAAAGAATAAAAGGATTGCCAAGAAACAAACACATCTGTTGCTGAGTCAGTGGTACAGTTAGCTGGCACTGAGTGATAATAAATAATGACTCTTATAATGATATCTGTAATTCAAAACACTATTTAATTTATTTTCCTGATTTATGATTTAACTTTGCCTAGATAATGTATGCTACCTCAAATTTAAATACAAATCATAAACTTTCATTTTTTGACACCTTTTGTTTATGTCTCTTACAATCTGCATCAGTCCAATATTCTTTTTATCTTCGAAGCTTCTTGGCAGACAAAAACCCAAATAATTTGCTAAAATCCTGCTTCTAAGCACAAGTACAGCATCAGTAGAGACAGCAGAGCAGAGTTGTTTGTATGGTACATAGGGAGACAGCCTGACTGAATTCATGTCAGTGCACCAAAAGTGGACCAAATCTTTACCACTTGATGAACTGGATACAGCTCATTGTGAGCTGCAGTAGTTCCTGTGCATTTCCATCATGCAAGGTTCTTAGTTTTGCCTTGCCCTTGAGAATGTACTCTTTAAAGATCCATTGCTGTTACTGAGCCAAGGCCTCTGGAGATTTCCAAAGGGAAGGTTTTGCAGAGCTCACAGAAGTTCGGCAGCCCACAGATTATTTCTGTGCTTCCACATACATTCTCTTTCTCTTGTGAACTCATTATGATAAATGATACAAAATTTAATTTTGGAGGGAAAGGCCAAATAGGTTGATCCTGGATTCTACTAAAAATAGATGGATTTATAATTCTCTGATTAAATTTTAAATAATTTTTATAAATATAAAATATTTATAAATTTAAAAATTTAAATAAATTTAAATAAATATTTAAATATTAAATAAAATATATTTCAAAAACACAAGCATGATAAGTAGAAACACTTCTCAAATAAATTAAAAAATATCTCTAGTGAAACAAGAAGTAAAGCATTGGATTCCTCCCAGGGAACTGGAGGCATTTTAACTGAGGCACTTCAGGAGGGCTTCTGAGTAGAATTCACTGCAGTGAATCAGTGAACAGGCTGTACTCTAATATTGGTGTCTCTTAGGTGGGATGTACAATTTTCCATTTGGGAAAGAGAAGTATTTGTCCCCTTTGACTTGTAAAATTCGATATTTTTGGTCTCACCTATCCCCAGCAAGCTTTAGGCTTGTTTTGGCCAGAGCCATCAGTAACTCTGTGTGGAGCAGCTGTTCCCTGGTTCCAAAGGAATAAAAGTCAATGTTGCTAAAGCAGAAGCAACTAAAATACTGGTTTCGCTGCTGGTGAGGTTGAACAAATGACTGGCACTGGTGATAGAAGAATTGACTTTTAATGATAGAAGTCAATTATGCTGGTGGATGGATGAGCTCCAAAAGGGAAAACAATGCCACATATCTCTAATAGGCCATAAGGGAAGTATATTTTCCATTAAAAATCACTAACAAAATATAAAGAGGGAGCAGATCACTTAGGAGAGAGTGTGACTGAAACCAATACTGATATAAGTATTCCCTAAAACTTGATCAATACACTGCAGAGAAGTACCTCTGGTAATAAAATACATGTGCTTGTTATGTGGAAATTCCTTCTTGGCTCGTAGGTGGGGGCAGACCCAGTGACTTTGGGGTTGCCAAGTTTCCTTGCTTGGTTTTGTAAGTTTTTATTCTTTCCCCTGGAGTGGTGCAGAGCTGTTTGTTGCATTCCCTGTGCCAGTGTTCCAAAGATCCCGCCTGAGCCTGCCCAGCACTGGGGCCCTTTGGCTGTTCTTCTTGTGTGAGATATTGACAGCAAATCCCAGCAAAACTCCCAAATCCTTCCCTCCTTCCCCTAGGACCTCTATTAGAGCAGCTGCTCTATTTTCCCTAAGGATTGTAAATGGACTTGCTTCACTTTTAGTTGCAGCTTTCATCTGGGAGTTTAGGTACCCTAAGAAAGCCTAAGATAAGCTACCCTAAAAAAGCCAAAGTTAAGGTATCCTAAAAAAGCCAAGCATGTGCACTGGTTTCTCAAAGCAGTTTCTCAACACAAAAATAGTTGAAATCTTGTTGAAACCTCATGGCTTTGAGGGAAAGGAGTATCTCACTTCATCTGCTGGTTCTTGAGGGAGGGAGGTTTTAGTACATGGGAGCTCTTGAGCTTGGGCTCAAATACTGAAGTAAATATTTGAGAGCTTTAGTAAACCAAGAGGGGAAGGCAGCTGAGTAAAAGCAAACATTGAGTTAAAATGCACATGTTGAGGTTTGCTAACACCCCATTGCTCCAGGTCTGTGCTTCAAGCAAAGACTGATTTGTTTTCTGCAGCAGAATATATTTTCATTCTGAGTATCTTTCTGTAACTGAACCTTCTCAACCAGCAGATAATTTTGACCAACTGTTAAAATTTCAGAAGTACACCTAGAAAAGAGGCAAGGACAGTTTCCTGAAAAATCTGCCTTTTGTTATTAAAAGTCCATAATATGGGTCAAAAGAAGGGTGAAAAAACCAAATCAGTCCTTTTACTTCTTCAGTATGCGATTTCACAGATACTTTTAACTTTATTTAAAAGAAAAAAAGGAAAGTAGGATGTAGGGAATACAATCCAATAGGAAATACTAAATCTGTACCTGTTTGTGTGTTTGTCTTCCTGCAAATAATGAGTTAAAAGACAATATGTAGTATTTGAAATGTCTTCAAGTAGCCTTTAACTCAGCAAAACTTTGGTCACAAGTGGGTAAGATAGGTGATGGGATCTGCTCCATGAAATAAAAGTTACCCCCTTAGCTTTTTGCCTTCTTTCTGCTGTTTTTGTTATATATTGAGTATTGTACCTTAAAGGTAGCA